TCTACTGTCTTCTACTGTCCTCAATTGTCTTTTATTGTCCTCTACTGTCTTCTATTGTCTTCTACTGTCCTCTACTGTCTTCTACTGTCCTCTACTGTCTTCTACTGTCTTCTATTGTCCTCTACTGTCTTCTACTGTCTTCTACTGTCCTCTACTGTCCTCTACTGTCTTCTATTGTCCTCTACTGTCTTCTACTGTCCTCTACTGTCCTCTACTGTCTTCTACTGTCTTCTATTGTCCTCTACTGTGTTTAAACCTTCGGCAGGACATCTCTAGAAGCAGAGAAGAAGTATGTGTGGACAATCAGCTCCTCAGCTACTGACGTGTAGTTTCCCTGAAAACACACCAAAGGTCAGAGGTCAGCAGTGTGTGTGTGTGTGTGTCTGTGTGTGTGTGTCTGTGTGTGTCTGTGTGTGTACCTTCAGTGGTGATGTTGCTCCAATATAAACAAACAGGACATCATGACGGTTCATGGCGTGCTGGAAGAGCTGCAGACTGCTCAGAGATCGAACCAACGGCCTGAACGACACAAAATACATTAAATATATACACAACATTATGATTATTCAATAATAATATAAATGGAATAATAACGTTTGTTTACTCACCCCGCAACTCGATTAGCAAAGTCCAGGATTCCATCTTTGGTTCTCGGTCCTACATAATTATATTTCACATCTTTCCTCCACCTGAAAACACGTTCACAAACCTTAAGATAACTTTAAAATAAGCTTTAAATAAGTGATGTCACAGTGATGTCACAGTGAGGTCATAGTCAAACAGAGACAAGACAATAAAAGAAAATGTTTTCTACAACTTACTGTTCTTTTACTGTAAATATTCATTATTTTAACAGTTCGAAGACAAAACAATAATAATATATATTAAAATAATAATAATAATAATATGAACACTGTTCTTGTTCTGTGTTTCTATAAAGTTTGAACGGACTCACATGAGGATTGCTGGGTAACTTCTGACCCTGAACTCTTTGGCTAGTTCTGATGAAAGAGAAACAACATCAGCAGTGACCTCTGACCTGCTCCATCATTATAATAATATATTATATTCATTTATTTTGATAGTTATATTTTGGCGGTGTCACTGACTGGTGTTAGCGGTGGCGTCTGATTTGCCGACGTTGACCGGAGAGCCGAGACTCCTGAGTTCTGATCCGATCTGATGCCAAACAGGATCCAGCTCTTTACAGAACGAACACCAGGGGGCGTAAAACTGCACGCAGACCAAACACAACAGAACACCGTCACACCAACTCCACTGTTACACCTTCACCATCAGCTTATTATCAGAGCCTGTAATCAATAATGCTGATCAGAATCAATCAATGCATTCTGTAAACAAAGGAGAACAAAACAAACTTTAATGAGCCAGATGTCGTCGGCTTCTCTCGTCTTCATGAAGCTGGTGAACACAAACAGTTGATTATTGATTACATTGATCAAAATGTATTTCATATTTAATGATGTCACAGGAAGTATCAATACAATCAATCACTTTATTCGTTCAATAAATCAATCCTTATTTATTTATTTATGAATAAAACTGCAGTTTTTACTTACTCATCATCCAACTCCTCCACAAAGGCAGAAACACACACTGACAGCAGCACTGAAACAAACAAACA